ACAGAGTGTGAGCAGAGAAGGGGCAGAGAGAGAGGGGTAGACACAGAATCTGAAGCAGCCTCCAGGCTCTCAGCTGTCAGCACAGAGCCTGATGCGGGATTCCAATTCACGAACTATAAGATCATGACCTGAGCTGAAGTTAGAGGCTCAACCAACTGAGCCTCCCAGGCACCCCAAGAATATGGATTTTTTTAAATTTAATTTTAATTTTTTTTTTAATTTACATCCAAATTAATTATATATACTGCAACAATGATTTCAGGAGTAGACTCCTTTAGTGCTGACCCATTTATCCCATCCCCTCCCACAACCCCTCCCAACCTCTTCAGTCTTGTTCTCCATATTTGTCAGTCTCTTCTGTCTTTGCTCTCCTGTGTTTATATTGCTCTTCCCTTATGTTCATCTGTTTTATCTTCAAGTCCTCATAATGAGGAAGTTATATGATTTTTTGTCTTTCTGACTGACTAATTTCACTTAGCAACTCTCCAACTCCACTCCTAATGAGTTGCAAAACAAGATTCTCATTCTTTTATTTGCTGAGTACCTATTGTATATGCATACATATACCACATTTTCTTTATCCATTCATCCATCTATGGAAAATTTGGGCTCTTTTCATACTTTGGCTGTTGATAGTGCTGCTATAAACATGAGGGTATGTGTCCCTTTGAAACAGCACACTTTGTATCCCTTTGATAAATGCCTAGTAGTGCAAATTGCTGGTCAGAGGGGCATTTCTATATTTCTTAGTTTTTTTAGGAACTCCTGGCTACTGTTTTTCCATAGACTGGCTTACCATGGCTGCCACCACAGTGCAAAGAGATCCTTCATCCTCGCCAACATCTGTTAAGTTGCTCGTTAATGTTAGCCGCTCTGACAGGTGTGAGGTGGTATCCTGGCCAGGTTTTGATTTGTATTTCTGATGATGAGAGATGGTGAGCATTTTTCAGTATGTGTCGGCACATTCCATGTCTTCTTGAGAAGTTCTATTCATGTCTTTGGGCCCATTTCTCCAGCACTGGATTATTTGTTTTTTGGGTGTTGGATTGATAAGTTCTTTGTAAATTTTGAGACAACGCTTATCTTATATGTCATTTGTAAATATCTTCTCCCATTCCATCGCTGCCTTTGCTTTGTTGATTGTTTCTTTGCTGCAGTAGAAGCTTTTATTTTGATGAGGTCCCAGTAGTTCATTTCTCTTGCTTTTGTTTTGTCTGAGATGTGCTGGAGGTTAGTTGCTTTGCGCCAAGGTCAAAGAGGTTTGCTTTCTCCTTGAGATTTTGATGGGCTTCCTTGTCTTACATAGAGGTCTTCATTTTGAGTTTATTTCTTGTGTATGGTAAGAAAGTGATCCAGGTCTGCCCTCTGTGTGTCGCTGTCCAGTTTTCTTCAGCACCCCTGCTGAAGAGACTGTCTCTCTTTATTCCATTGGGTATTCTTTCCTGCTTTGTCAAAGATTAGTTGGCCATCAGCTTTGTGGGTCATCCATTTCTGGTTCTCTATTCCTACCCATTGATCTGAGTGTCTGTTCTGTGCTATGCTGT